GCTTAATAAGGGGTTCCAAGACATTATCTCTGCTGTTTGAGTATCACTGGACTCTGGTCATTCTTATTTCTTGCTGAAATGAATGTTTGTGCATCCAACACTGAAAGAATATTTAAGTTTCACTGTCCAGATCTTCTTAGCCAATGGTTGCCCTGATCCAGTGGAAGGCAATTATCACCTAGAGAGTGGACTTCTGGGAGGAATAAAGGCTACTTCCATAAATTGCTACGAATGCAAGACAAAGCATTCGTAGCAATTCTGCTATTGCTGTTTAAGGAAAAGATGATGTTCTGAGCAGGACAGAGAGATGTCTAGGCAATTAGCTTGATGTTTTGCTGGTTTTTAACAGTATCTGAATTTATAAAGACAATAGCTGCAGCTCTAGGTGTAACCTGGAGGTCCCAATGTGTCTCATGGGGATTCCTTGCTTGCAAACTGTTATCCTGTTGCTGACTCCAGGACGTGTCAGAATATGTGTATGTATGAGCTCCTTCTCACGGTTTTTGCAGCATATAAAATTCTAATATGTTGTTGTATTTTAATTTGAAAACTAATATATTAGAAATGTGGATCACAATATGGCTTTTGGCCAGAGCAATTTCTGCAACACAGATTCTTCTTCTGCAGGGATGTGGTGCTACTCTCACAAGAGCCTGTGAGAAGCAATAGGTAGACTGTTCACTTCTTTATACTTCCCTGACTCCCACCAGGAAGACTCTCCACACTCTCAGCTTTTATTAACTGACTAGTCCATGACAAGGGTAAATGGTTATATCCTTTGGTTTATAATGGATAGCTGTACTGCCATGTAATGTGTGTGAAATGAAACATTGGTCATGAAACCTGGGCTGCTTCTGCTTTTTGGTCCAGGAAGAAAAAAAATGTGGTTAAGGATAAAACATCTAAATTCTGCTAAGAATGTAAAAATAATAAAATGGTCATATATCATTAATGGATGGAAAATAAGTATAATAATAGGGAGGTAGAAAAAAGAATTCAAATCAGTATAGCCAGATAAGGACTGGCTGTAAGAAGGGTGTTACAATCCAGGCTAAGATACCGGGTGAGGTCAGTAAGTATATGCTTATCAGCCTCTGGGCAAAACCAGGTAAAATTTATACAAGTTTAAACTCTTGGTTATAATAGTGGTTGTTAATAATTTAGCAGAAAAAGGGATTTCATGCATCTAAATTAGAAATGATAATGTTCTAAAATGGTTAATGCATGAGTGACATGCCCACAGCAATATGCAGTCACTGTCGGCACCTTCTCTGTTGCTGGCAGAGATCACAATGGAAAATGGAATGGAAAGGCCAAAGCTGCAATTGTTTCCTCATGAACCAAATCACCTACTTCTGGGAGAAAAGAATTTTTCTGCATCTTTGGCCTTTTTCTGTTTTACAGCTTTACTGTGAAAGACTCAATCACTGTTGTTACTAGTATAAATCTACCAAAAGTGATGTTTTAATTAGGTTTCTGTTGCTTCCTCTAGGCAAAGATGTTTCTAGGAAGAAGGGTAGAGGACACAGCTAATAATATCATAGACAAAGCTGGGATGTGATAGGACCTCTTTGTGGAACTTCCAATTAGTCCAAATAGAGGCTTCCTTGCTTTGTCCTGGTAGTTTTCTTTATTTAGAGACCACCGTGTCATTTGCCACTCTCCTGGAGTCATGTAACTCTTCTGGTAAGCCAGAAGATGCAGAGGCAAAAGTTAACGTTATGTATTCAGTTTACACTCCTCAACAACTTTCCTTAGTTAAAGGTGAGATAATAACCTGATAAGCAACAAACTCAGCAAAATAACATTACTCCTACTTTTCTGGTACAAGATACTGCCTTTCTGTACTTTCTTGTAAAACAGTGAGAAAGCTGCCACATGAGAGCTTACATGTATAGATTTGCTCAAAGTTGTAAAGCAAATCAGTAACATTTTGACATACATGGCAACATTCTGATGTGTGTGAAGCTTTACCTATATGCTAATCGTCAAAATAACATTTTCCTGCCATTAAGCTAAATTACCATGGCTGGGGTCATGATGCACCCAAGAGCTTTACAGGCTTAATGTGCAGTCTCTTCTACAGGATGTACTTTTTATTTTTACATAGTATTCTCCACCTTAACCCCCCACCCCCAAATAGAGAAGGCACATGTAAATTCATAACAAGCTCTAGAAATGCATTGTGCAGAGCAATATAGTTATCTTCATCTGCAAAAATGGCTAATCTGTGAGAAAGGGGGAGAGAAACACTTAAAATTCTCCTCTTCTACTCCAGAAATGGAGAGACTTCTGTCAAACAGTAGTGTTTCACTTCCTAATCTAATGGAAGTTAGATGAGTTGGCTGAGAGTAGCTCATGTTGCATATTGTTACTTCTCCTCTCTAAAACTCTCTAATGAATTCCATTCCTGTTACTTTTCACCAATATGCTTAAAGTGAGTAACAGAATCTTTTGCTTTGAGTAATGAAAACATAAATTGAAGTATAAGCACATGAGCAGATGCACCTCTGTGTGGACACAGACACACCAGTATCACTAAAGAGTCTGTCACATTAACTGAATCAACTAATATGGAATATTTATCACTACATTTCCAATACCAGGGCTCTTGATTTCCATATAATTTCCCACTAGTCAGTGTTATGGCTCTGAGGAAAGAAAACCTTGCATTGAACATCTTTTTTCTTTTGACTTAATGCTGAAAAACAGTGTTTGTCTTACTGAAGAAGCAAAACAAATGTATTGTGGATTTCTGTGCAAGGAAATGGATGTTAGATTTCGACACCTTAGTTCAGAGGAAGCTTTGTCCTCCACTTGTCAAAATTCACCAATCTGTAATAGGATTTGGTTCACTGTGTCTGACTGAGACACTTGATTACTTTTCTTATTATATAATTAATTTAGACATCCTTACAGTGGGAAAATATCACACAACAGCAGTACCCCTCAGAAAAGACTTTTCTTCCTTAAATGAGAATGTTAGGAACAGCCTGGAGGGAAAAGTTAAAAGATTAAAAGCAAAGGATCAGCATGGAGGCTTCTTAATGAATCACTCATTAGGGTCAGAAAAAGGGAACCAAAGGCAGAAAAGAAAAAAACCCAGTCTGAGTAACCGGCAAAGTACAAGAGTTTATTCAGACCAAAAAAATCTTTTAAAATGTTAATGCAGCTAAGCCCAAGAGAAGTTAGTATCATTGTAACTGTTAGTAAGTATAACACAGAAAACATAGAGACCCAGTTGTGCTTTCACTTGCACAAAACTCCTGTTAAGGGCAGATCATTTTGAGAACTAGAAGAAAATTTGAGAAAACAGATATAAAGACAAGCAAAGTATCTGTGATTTTTGTATAAGTCAACTGGATTAGTGAGTTGCTAAGGGGTTAATCAAAGAGAATGAAAGGTCAAACACACACCTTAATCCATGTCAGTGTGAAAGTATTATCACCCATGGAAAAGCAGGTTACTATGGTCCTTAGTGCTTTGTCTGGAAGGTGGCATACTTGATAGAATGATACCAAAATAGATGTTCTGCCAAAATTGTACAGCTTGTTTCCTGTTTTCTTCCAAAGTAAAATTTATTGCTCTATTTTGGAAGTAAAATTAATTGGTGAACTCTCTTTGCTGTCCTGAGATGTTCCCTGTGGGTAGTGAGGACCAGCTACAGAGGCAGCAAAACAAAGGCAGCTGCTACAGCTGGAGCGAGCTAAGCTATGATACTGTGAGTCAGTATATCACACATATCACAGCCTCAAGGAAGTGCAGTCTTGGTTCTCAAGCAAAAGTAACTGCACAGAAGCCCAGAAAGGGTAGTAGTGTGCTCTCCCAAAGGTGCTACATGAGCTTTACTTTAGTGCTAGGAAAATTCCTGTGCAAGTCCTTGGATGTGTGGCTGTCCTGTACTGACATGACTTTTTTTGATGGTACGTTTAAGAACATGGAGCAGCATCATAAAATGGTTTTGAAGGCTATATTTTTTAAAACTCTTTTTCTTTGAAATACTTTTTAGGAAGCCCATAGGTGAAGAAATATTTTTTACCTGATTTGAGAAAAACTATATTGTCTAATCATGGCAAGCTGCTAATAACAAAACCAGAAGGAAAACAATTAAGACAGAAATCTAACAGCAGAGCTTGAGTCCCACTTTGAAAACACATATTGATTCTTGCCCCATGCTTTCGATTTCTGACTGTTGTACATCAAGTAAAGAGCCTGAGGAGGGAGAAAACCCTGAGCAACTCCAGTGGTAGCAGACTAACTCCCCTCTGCAGGGGGAGAAAGTAAAATTGTATGAACTTTTAGGCTTGGGCAACGAGAATGAGAGAAGAAAGGAGAAAATAGGAAAACTAATAGGAGTTTATAAAGAAAAAGATGGAAAGACAACATACATCCTATACATTTAGATTGGGAGGGGCATGCATGATTTCTCAGTAAACAAGCTCAGGCTACATCTTTGTACATCATGTGCTGCCTGCCTCTAGTGAAGGCTCTGGCCAGGCTGTGCGGATGCTAAAGGAGGGTTAAATGGAGGATAACTGCCAACAGAACATTTTTTAGAGAAGTTAACTAGTGCATTTTTCTCCCTGTGTAAGCCCCCTAAACACGAAAGTACAGCTGTTCAGTGGTTTTCTGGAATGTTTTACTATTTGCATGGGTTCTTCTGGGCTAAAAAAGCTGAGGTACTCTTGTTCAGCGTATCCTCTGTTTTCAGAAAACAGAGTGGAGTCAGGAATACTGTTTTATTTTCTATTTCTGTTGCTGTAATTCATCTACTGATTATTAGTTTCCACTAGCCAAGGATCTATCAGTAGCTGACAAACCTGAATGACCTAGAAGTAAAGAAAGGAATAGGTGAATTAGCTGAAATTGGGAGTTTTGTTAATTCATTCTTTGTTCTGGCCGTAGCTCCAATTATAGCTTTCACCTCAAGCAGTGAAATATTGTCTAAATATTGACCTTGCCCAAATTCAGTACTAGTTTCCTTAGATATTGCCAGTTACCTTTTGCTGCAGCCTGCTTTTTGTCTTGTCTTCAATCATGCCACTCACGGATGCATTGCCAATCTGATTTCACTTTCCTGCTGTGAGGTCGTCTTCAGTTATTACCCGTTTTCTGTGCCTATAAGAGAAATGCTACTCAACTACAATAAAAAGTGATAAACACCACAAATAGTAACCAAGCATTCAGCTAGTGTTGTTATATAGTAAATATCTGGACAGTTTGCTATCAAACAAAACCCAAATGGAACGAAAATTGCAAAAGACACCTGACAGGCCAAAATCTGTAGTTCTTTCACATAATGGTGCAACAGAGAATACTAACAGCATGTCATTTGGAGCATGATATTTTTCCATCCTTAGTTGCAATTCACTTGAAAGCTGAGAGTAATTTTAGTATAATCCATCATTTATCTGAAGATAAGACCATAAATTATTAGACCAGCAATTCTATTTCATTTGTGCTTTGTCTCAAAGAATCACAGCTGCTAGGACTTACAGTCAAGATAACCTTTTTTCATTTGTTTGTTACAGCTGAGGTAAAAAAAACAACAAGTACAAGTATCATAACTCCCCTTGTTTGCCAAATTTGCTAAATTCCCCAAAATGTTCAAAACTGGTGAAGATTCTTCTATGGTACATTGGGCAATTTTTTTTTGTTGGCAAAGGATAAGTTTTAGGAGATGGTACAGAACATGGTATGACTGTTATGAGTAGAAGTACACTGTCTTATTAAGAAAGTGGTCTTAAAAGAAAAAATTATTGATAGAAATGGAACTAAAAGAAATACTGTCATTAGCAAAAGCTAACTGGCTTGTTTTCACTGCAGGGTGTTTAGGATCAGAAGAAGGAGACAGAAAATGATACTGTGATTAGTAACTTTCTTATATACAGCTGCAACTGCACTGGAAATAGTTTTGCTGGAGGCTTTCTGTTTTTCAGGCTGCAGTTACTTGGTCTCATGAGGTCTGTACATCTCTGTACTCTAAGCATACATGAGGTTGCCACCTACTCAAACTCTCCAACATATTTGAACTCACCTTGTGTTTACATGCAAGAATTTCAACTATGCATAAAAGTTAATTCCAGGTAAGTAGCTGAGGTTCAGTTCTCAGCAACAGCAACCTCTTTATTCCTGTTGATGTTGTGGAAACTAACCCAACAATAGCGAAAAGAACAATGTAAGTCATCCCTCCACTTCTCCCTCTCTTCATAAGTGATCCACATTTTTCATTTTGTTTTCAGAATTCCATGAGATTTCTACAAATTTTTCTTTGTGATGTTCTGCTGTTTTACCTTACCTAGGTTCTCAGATCTGATCCTATCAATGCAGAGGCTGACTTCTTAAGAACACCATAGTCATCCTTAGGACTAACTGTCCAAAAATCTGAACTGCTATCCAAGAATACCTCAAAATTCTTGATTAATATTTGAGAGAAACACATGGTAAAACACGTATCTGTGTCACTGCGTTTCTGATGGAATTGTTGCACAACTGAGAGCACGAGGCACAAACATTAGCAATAAGCTAGAGAAGGCTTAAAACTGAACCAGGATTAACCAAGGGCTAGAGATTTAGCTAAACATGCAATAGAGCCTACAATACAAGCAGACTGTTGTGGGCCTGTAGTGGCCAGGCTATACCCTGACCCAGTCCTTCCAGCTGTAAGCTCTCAACCTTACTGTGCTTGCAATTCTGAAAAGATTCTGAGCTTACACTTCTCTTTCTGGAGAGAGATGATGGTTGCTGTGTTGCCAGCATTACTATCAGAAATAGAGGATGGGTATATTTTGCTTTGCTGTCCATCGCCCTTGCTCTGACTTGGCCATTTGGCTGCTTTTCTTTGTATCTAATATAGAGCCCAAGTAAATCTACTGATGAATCTTGATAACCCACTTCCCCAACTCAGCATTAGATTTAACATATACAAATTAAATTTTAGTTGATTTCTCCTCTTATTGAGGTGGTCTCCTGGAAGATAACGATTAAATTCAGCTAAAAAAAAAAAAAACAGATTAACCCTGTAATGCAACTCGGACATAGTATTGGATTAAAGTAATGCATAAAAATCCATGTTCTCTATCCATGTCAAGACCAAACACGACCTTTTATGAACTCACCAGGTAGAAGAGGAGACTTGACATGCAGGGGACAGATATGTGCCAACCACTCAAACAGTTAGATGCCTCTCATAGTGTGATTAGGAGTTCTAAAATTTGGGCAGTAGTAGCCACAGGAGAGATTATGAATAATACTGGTGAGACCAGTAGCTTCTGCAACACAAGACAGTCCAGAGGAAAAGGAGAGGTAGTACGAAAGTAAGAGTAATTTATGACTGCTTAAAATATTTTCAACTAATATTATACCTTTGCATATGCAGGATTTTAACTAGGACAGTGTAATGAGAGTTTGTAATTTATGCAACTTCAAGTTACCATATTAATTACTGTGACTGTGGAAAGGAGCAATAGGCAATGCCAGAGAAAAGGACTATTTAAATACACTCCTTTAACAAAAATGGAGGATAAAACTACCACAGTGCAGAAAACTTAGAAGTAGAAAAATGCAGTCAGTGCCCATTTTCTGAAGTAAAATTTTTTAATGGGCATTAGCTCTGACATTTATTTCCATGTCAGTCCATACATTTCTCGAAAGTGTAAATAAATCACCACGTTTACATTCTGCATCTGCCTCTGTTTTTATAGTACAAAAATTACAAACAGAAATGAGATACATTTTCCAATGTTTAATACAATTAAAGATAATATTACTCCTTCAGCAGGTAACACAAATACAATCATGCATCTTCTTGTTCTAAGACTGTAAAAAGCAGGTTGTTGAGTTGTGATGTTTGAAACTAAAAGGCAGCACTCTCCTCACTTCTGCAGTGCTGTTACTGGCATTCCAGGCTGGTATTTGCTGCCTTTTAAACCAGTAACTTCTAGCTGCAGTTTGCACATGTGGTCCAGCCCAAGCAAGGTACTGTGTCGAAGCAGGAAGGCAGGAACACCTTACACCATCGGAAATGGGTGGACTTCTGCTCTCCTCCAGTGTGAAAATTAACTCTGTTTCCATCTATTACTATGACAAAAGGGGAAAATGAATCCAGCTATATTCAACTTCAATGATAAACGTGACTTCTCATAACTGTACAGGACCACTCTTTCTCAGTTTAGCAACATAAACTAGGAAGCACTCAATAATCATAACTGATTTTTCTCTGCTAACTAGTTCAAGTTGTAGAGAAGAAAAGCGTACAGAAATACACATGGAAAGGCACATATTTGAACTTCTTAATACATGAGCAAAAGCTTCATTTGTAGGCACTTCATATTTTTGAAAGATGCTGTAATTTAAAAGATTATGGTGGCAACAAGCAAAATGGACTGCCATAGTCAGGAGTATGAAACATTTGTCTGACACTAAAACAGACCTAAAAGAGCGTTTCTACATCATCATGGTAATTACCTGCTTCAGGCCATACTTAATCCTCCTATTCAGACAAAAATCTAATCATGTTAGCACTGTGTGTTCACACAAGTGAAAAGAGAAGATGCCTCCCCTAAACAAAAAATCTCTCTTGACCCTCACCTTGTGATTTTACTGAGCCCATTTATTAGCTTGTCCCATGCTATGCAACACAACACAATCCAAACAAGTACTGCTACTTTTGGAAGTCATGGAAATTTACAGTTAACTGTAGCATGCTCTGGGCAGAATCCTGCTGTCGCTTATTGCCATACATCTCATTAATTCTAGGGTGTTTGCAGAAATACAGAAAGAGGTGTAACTGAATGCTGCAATTTTACTGCTTGTACACATTGTGATCTGATTGACTGACTTAGTTACTGATACAGTACTTGACTTGGAAGAATACAGGGTTTGTGCCTATAAATAACTGGTAACATCGTGTTTTAAAGCATGGAGAGTGGAAGGACAGTAAATATGTTACAGGATCTCATCTGAACTTGCTGAAGAACTCTAGTCCAGTGTGAATCCAAGAAGTTTAGAAACTGACTAATGCCAGGAAGAAAAAAAAAGGGGGGGAAAAAAAGAGAAAAAAAAGTGAGGGGGAGCAATTTAACTTTTACTAACTAAAATTTGATCTCTGGTTGTAGATTGCTCAATTTTTTTTTTTTTTTCTGTAGAAAAAGGATAAATCTGGTTATGGAAAGTGTATGCTACACAGTTTTGATGAAACCAATACTTGCTGCTAACTGGTGGAAGTTGCATTGCCTGTTGGACTGAGAAAATGAACTGTGCACAAGTCTCAAAAATTGTGAGTATCACTTTTGGCGACTTTTGATTAATTTCTATGATGAGCTTAGCACAGTGATAAAAATTTAATTGCTCATCTGAATCTGATCTTGACCAAAGATCAGAGGGCTGGTTTTTGTAGGCTGATGGGATGACTCGTGATGGTGAGGTGCTGTTACTGCACTGTGCCTTCTGCCAAAGGGTGCCTCTGCTTTCTCCTCAAAGTGTTGACAGGACACGAGCGCTCACACACGGCATGGCTGTGAGTCTGTGGGACGCTCAGTCATCTCCAAAACTATGCTGTGCGCGTTTAGCAAGCGGGCCTCGAAGGGCAAACCGAGGCACGGGGCTTAAGTTACCTGCGTCTTGTCTGGGGCTGAGCCTTTCTCTGTCAACGCCATGTAAGCCAAGTATAAATTCAGCAGGAGGCTGTGCCACAATCTCCCTCCCCCGGGGCGAAGGTGCGGGGCACAGCCCGCGGGGGCGCGCAGGGGCCGCTCCGCGCCCGCGGGAGGTTCGCGCTTACCTGGCTCCGCGCAGCGCCCGCAGAGGGGCGGGCTCAGCCGCCGCAGCGCCTCACACGCAGCCGGGTTCGGATCGGCTCGCTGGGCCTGGCTGGGCTCTGCTGGCTGGAGGCTCTGCTGGGCCGGGCTCAGCGGGCTGACTCCGCGGGTGGACTCGGCCTTCCCTCCGGCGCCGACACCGCTCTCCCGCTACCGAGCGCGGACTCCGTTTATTAGCGGAGGGGCGCTTGCGCACACCCAGCTCGCCCCATGCCCTCTCCCCACCAATCTCTCCGGGAACGGACCCTTCTCCTGACCGTCTCCCTCCCACTTCCACCCGCTTCCTACCTGCCCTTCCCCGCCACCGTGACACGCCCGCAAGCCGAACCCGGCACGCCCAGGGATGCGGAGGTGGCGCAGGGATGGGTGCCGGGTGCTTGGCAGGACGGGATGTGCTGGCCCTGGCTCCTGGCGCTGGACAGGGCAGAGCCAGCGCCGGGGACCTGGGAGTGCTGCGGAGACTGCGGGGATGGGGCGAGGGGTGTGCGTGGGGTGCCCCTCCTTCCCTTTGCCTCCAACTTTCTGAAGAAGGGGTCCGAGTGGTTACAAACATTCCCAGTTTCTCCAGGAATCCCCCGGGCCGCCTGTGAGCACAACTGAAATGTTCTGATCACCACTAATGAAGTTGCAATAACTATATAATTGCCATAATAAATCTGGCAGACTTTGTTCTCTGGGAGTAGACGGGAGAGGAAACAGGTATGTTAAACCCCCTTGGAATACGTGTCCTAGGAGGGCTCTTCAGATCAGTGCTGTCATTTAAAAAACTGATTTTGTGTATGAGGGATTTTGTTTGTTTCTCTCTTGATCTGGTAAACAAAACAGGGAGCAACTTCTCAGGATTTCTTCGATTGTCATGCTCATCAAGAACAGGATTTCAGAAGTTACGTTTCATTGTAGTGCCATCGCACCTTAGTTATGGACAGAGCTAAAGCTTCCAATGGAAACTGCACAACTGCAGATTGCTTCCTAACCTTTTTATACACCTAGTGTCTTTTTCAAGGCTTGCTTAGGAAAGACATGACCTAGGATGGCAATATCTTTCAAGGGTTGGCAATATAACTTTACTTTGGCTGTGAGTAATTAGGATATACTTAGTGATAGTGGTAGGAGAGGAAAATCAAGAAGAAACATTTGGATTCTGCGGTAATAACAACTTGTTTTTCAGCGTCTGCACATGTATAATCAGTAAGGTCTTGTCTGGCTATAATTTGTTGTTGAAAGTCTGTTAGCTAAACCAGAGGTTCAGACAGAAATCCAGAACTGCGGCACATTACATAAACTCATTTGTTCCAGGCTGTGTCTGATGGGCCATGAGTGTGTTACATGGAGGCACTAATTCACCTGTGACATAATCTTTTGCCCTGATCTTATTTATGTCGTGACGAGAAAAATCATCTGCATTTTCATCAGAACAGCAGTCAGGACTGAAGCAGTCTATATTGGCAGCACGCTGCCCTCCTGCCACTTGGGGAGTTTGTAATTGGCTTCCTCTCTGCAGAGGTCATGCTGAGAGATCTTCTAATGATGAACTGTGTACATGTTCACAGATTTATCATGACAAGAACTAGAAGGCACTTGCTAGTGAGTACTGTTCAGGCCTCTGCAATGCCTGAAGCTGGCTACAGCAGTGTGCTCTCTTATTCCCATATATGTTGTTGGTTATATTACATGGAGCTCTTGACATATGGGACACATTTATTCTATCCAAACAATTCTTTGTACATGTGTGACTGATTACCAAACTCCACTGAGTAACAATGAATTTGGTAGTTATTGCCCAATTCTGCCCAGGTTGTTCTATGGTAAAACCTGCTGGATGGAGCTGATGGGGAGGAGACCTCCATAAGGTGACACTTGGAGGTCTTTCAGTTCTTATAGAACTGAAGGAACTGAAACCAAATCCCAATGCCAGCATCAAACACTAGTTATTTAGAGTCACGAAATACCCCTGTATGTGTGAATCACTGCCTGGGATCAGTTGTTCCCTTTATTACATTCTATCATCCCTTCTCTTCAGAAAAGGGAAGGGGAAAGTAGATGATAACTGTATTTTTAACCAGAATAAAATAAAAAAAAAAACCACAACAACTTCTCTTTCAATTGGATTCTTTTTTAAAAGATGCATGTAAAATTGAATTTGGGTCTGCATCTCTCTGCTGAGTTCAGTCCATCTCTGGTGGATGTGCACAGGAGAGATGTAATTTAATGTAATTTTGGGAAAATCTCTTCACTACCAGCAGTTTTGTGTCTGGAATCCCAGTAACAGAATTGTAACATGATGAGCAGTGCAACATGCACTCACTGTAGAAATGTGATTTACAGGAACATCCAGTGAATAATAGACTTGATGACTAGAATTCTGTTTTCATTGAACTGCTGTAAATAAAGAGGCTTCTTCCCACCAGAATTGATTGAGGTGTCTATAATGTGGAAAGGGTTTCAGGGAGCAGGTTTCATTCTACAGCTTGTGGTAGAGCAAAGAGCTGTCATTAAGAAGGTGACTACACTGGGCAATTTGATTGCCATGAAATCAAAGAAATAGCTCTTCTAATAGCAACATTTATTAAAATCACTAGTACTATGGCGAGAACAAATAGTTTAAAACAGATCTTCATTGGGAGAATAAATAGTTTAAAACAAATCTTCATTGGGAACTCAAAATCACATTGCCTTTAACACCCTCTTATTTCTTTTTAGTAATAGATTTGTAATGAATCACATCTGAACCTTTTGGCAGTGTTTCTTTTTACATTTTCAAGGTTTTTTTTTCTTTCTGCAAGAACAAGAAGCACAAAATTATTTTTTTTGTTGAAAGCTGATGTTCCTTACATAGATTCCCATGCCTCTGGACATCAAGAGCCAGGCTTGAGGAAAGCACCACAGGTTGTGAGATTTGTAGCATGCTGTTTCTATTCATTGTATTCTTTTGTATGTATTTCCGATGCATTTTCCCACCGTTGATTCTTTCAGGAAATAGATTGGACTTTTGCAAATAGAATATACCATGCATTTGCTTAGAAGAAAATGAGTAATTCAGAGGTAGGTCTCTGCCCGTACTGCAAACTTGGACATGTCCTGGTAGCAATCTGATGTGAGTAAAGATGATTATTTGCCTGAAGATAAGAAAACTTACAAATACCGTATTTTTTTAGGAACATTTCTTGTCAAAAGACTCTCCTGCTGCCATAAGGAATATTTCAGTCCTATCCTGTTTATGTATAATTAAATATTTTCTGAGAAAAAGGACCAAGAATTGATCCCAAGTCAGTGCATCTATTATTTAGAATTTTTTACCCAGTTTTGTCAATGATGAACTGTGTTTTCAGAGTGTGTTCCCTTCTATCATGTCTACTACAAATGAAAGTTACTGGAAAATATTAAGAAAAGGAAAATTTGGAAAAAGATACATTGTAATTCTCACAGTCTCCCTCTTGATCCCAAACTTGTTCAGCTGTAGGAAAATATTAGTTTGTGCTGTAGAAATAGGAATGTATATTACTGTTGTCATCCACTCTCTATGTAAGACCATAACATTTTGTTAAGGCTGGCAGAGCATTACATGTTTGTGTATGTGAGAGGAGAGAACAAGAGAGGGAGAAAGGTCTTTTGGGATAAGCAAGGGAGGTCATTTGCAGACTTTGAGCAGCAGTGGTGCTAATATCCACAAGCTCTGCCTCTCCAGAGCTATGGAAATTTACATTATTATTTTTTTCTGATGAGGTCTTAACTATTAAGATAGTTAATCTCTTTCCAGGAAGCTATATGCTTTAACTTTTAGTCTTCCTCAGCTTGTATGCTTTAATTGTATCCATTATAATCATCATAGCATACAGTAGAAGGGGAGGCTGAAAAATATGAAGACTCTAAGGAAGCCAATGTTTCAAATCTCAGCATTTCCACAACACTTTAAGTGCTTTTATTTTGATAGAGAAGTAGTAGATTTTTTGTTTGAATTGTGCTGTGTTCTAAGCTGAACTGAATGAGAAGTGTGTGACATCCTCATTTTCTAAAGTTTATAAAATAGGGCAATTACGTGCTTATTTTTATATCTAGATTTGATTATGCTAGATCATTAGTTTAACAACAGCAGCAACTGCTTTGGGGGTTTGGACTGTTGCATTCAGTGGCAGATATAAGGTGTGTAATGGACTGGGAGCACAGGGGCTGCTGTGCAGGTGGCCAGCAAGGCCAGGCTGGCTGTCCTCTGGTGAGTGTCCTGTGTCCAGCCCTGCTTCCAGCCCTGTGTCCAGCCCTGTGTCCAGCCCTGCATGGGCAGCTACCATTGCTAATGGGGAAGTAAAATCAGGTGGCACTATGGGCAGGGAAGGGATGAAGACAGACTCGCCTTTATTTGTAGAGTAAATCCCTGCTTGATGAAACTGTCAGGTCATCAGATTAATGCAAAAGCCTGGCCCTTCTCCCAGAGCTCTTTCTGTGACAGAAGGAGGCCAGCTACCTTGTCACCAACTTTGTGTCCCCCTGTAGATGTTATTGGAGCACTTAGGGGACTGAGAGGACCTGTAGGGAATAGAGCTGACAGAACCATATCATTTCCTCACTGTTCGAAGAAACGGATGACAGAAACCAGCCTGGTTTTGAGGCAGGGATCTTCACAGCAAATGCTGAGTGTTGCACTGCTGGGAAGCAAGACCTGAGCCAGACTAGCCCAGGCACCAGCAAGGCAGTACCCAGGGGCTGGGCTGTGCTCACACTGCTCTGCAGTCCACATCATCAGGGAACCATAATCTGCTCTTGCAGGAAAGAACTGTAAAGAAATATAATTTGGGAGATATTTCCTTGACTTCTGAAGACTTTCTAGTTTTTTTTCAAGCAAATTAACTTAATATCATAAACTACGAAGAAAGCTTTCAAAAGAAAAGGCTGGATTTGCTGCTCTGTGTGCATAGTCACAAAAGCTGCTGCATGACTGGCAGTCCCAAAAAGCAGGTATCTGTCTTCCTGTGTGGGTAAAATCTGTGTTCAAACTGGATGCAAAGTA